TTATTTGGGCAGGATATTTGAATAGTTGATATGGTGTTTGGTATGGGAAGGCAAGTTTTTTGGTCACGTATTTTAAGATGTTTTTATTTCTTCTGGTCTGTAGTGGGGGTTCTCCTGATATGCATAGGATACTGTCTATAGGGCTTGTACGGTAAGCACCTATAGCAAGTCGAATTGCCTGGTTATGTATTGGATTGAGGATTTGTTTTGTGTTAGATTGAGCTGAGTTATAGATGATTGAGCCATACTCTATTCTAGATAATATTAGTGCTTTATAGATAAGGAGGAGACTGTTTTTGTCAGCTCCCCATTTGAAATGAGATAGTGTTTTAATGATTTTCATTTTACTATTGCAATTTATTTTTAGTTTTTTTAGATGACTGTTCCATGCAAATTTAGCGTCAAAAATCATTCCAAGTATACGAGTATTTTCTTTATATTCGATTGGTATGTTATTGATGTGAATTCGGTGTAGCATATCAGTTTTCTTTTTATTGAAAATTATGCATTGGGTTTTTGATGGTGAGAATTTAAAGCCAGTTTTAGATGACCATTGTAATAGTGAGTTGATAGAAGTTTGTAACAGGTCTACAGTAGTTTTGGTGTTGATTCCGCTACAGTAGATATTACAATCATCAGCGAATAACGAGTACTTAACAGGTTTCTGTATGTTGCTAAAAATGTCATTGATGGCAACTAAAAATAGTGTGACACTTAATACCGATCCTTGGGGTAGTCCATTCTCTGTTTTTGTATGATCAGAAAGTACATTGTCGAGTTTAACTTGTGTTGTGCGGTCGGTAAGAAAGTTATATAAGAACATTAACATATGGCCATCTATGGACCAGCTAGATAGGATATCGATAACTCTATTTTTCCAAACCATATCATACGCTTTTTCCAGGTCAAGAGACACAATTTTATTTTATTTTTTGTTATTTTAAAGTACCTTACAAAAGTTTGTCATAGTAATAAATCCACCAATTTTTACAAAAGTTACATGAATCTAACTTACATCAAATATAAATTTGAACTTATTTTGATTATTTTGCCTCCTCAAAGTTAAGAAAACCACTTTGAATTTTAGAACTAGCTTGAATTGTTAAATTTAGCTGAAATTCATTCAATGTTCAGTGACTACGATGAATATACAACAATATTACACGCTCGGAGTACAAAGTTCGAACCCTGCCCGTCAAAATAACTTTTCTAGCATTTTTTATTCTTTATATACTGGAAAAACCTTTAAATATTAGAAATTTAGACAAAGATCTCAAAATTACGCTACTTCAAAAAAACATTTTATAATTAAATATCTCCAAATTAATAGGCGTATAAAATTTGATCTTATACTGAATTACACAGTAAAATAATATATCACTAAAATGAAATATTTTTTAATGATCATATATCAAAGTATATTGTACTAAACCAATTTATTACGCTAATTCCAAGTCGGAAATTAGATTTTTTTTATCACCACTCTTTTGCAAAAAAATGCTCAAGAAAATTATATCTTTAATTTTGATGAAAATTCCTTGTAGATCATTTATTTAGAATTAACAACAAATCATCTTCTGAAAAATTTTATATCAAGCTCTTCAATTTTTATACACATATGCCATAAAAGTAATAACTACTTTATAATTTTATTAATAATAAATTATTAAAATCAATTCATACTATATTTAATAGTTATATTAAATATTAATTCTTATTTAACACTTATAAATCAAAAAACTTGTTATTAGAATATAAGTAAGGAAATAGAGATTTCATGAAACGTATCTTATGATAGTGATTTGAATTACTGTTTTTTTTTTAATTACCTGATAGACCAATTAAAAAATGTATAATACATTAAACATTTTTTAAGTTTATAGGTTTTCCTCTTTATTGTAGAAAGTGCGTATAACACAATTTTTTAAGCATTATCTAAAAGGTATATTAGGTATGAAATTTGCTTCATTGAATAAATAATCTTGCACTACGATGCAAAACGATAAAATTGTTTTAAATAAATTGATATTCTTAAAATAATAATAATAATAATAATATATTAAGTAATATTTTTACTAAATATCAAATATTAATGGTGATTTTTTTCTTTAAGAGATTCAATTATACTTCAATATATCAACTTAACCCTGTAATATAATCCATTATCTTTAAAGATGGAAGTAAAAATTGTTTATAATATTTGGTTTAATTGTAATTTCCTGATCTATTGTTACTAGATCAGAGAGTAAATATTTATAGACATTTTTGAAAATGGTTGTATTATTAACAGTATATTCGTAAAAAGATAAAAGAAAATATTTTAGTTTATTAGACGAAATGGAATGAACTGTAAGAGGAAAGAGTACATCAGGAGCATCATGTGTAATCTCTTTTCGTGCTGTACGTTTTTTACAATAAGTCTTTTCTTTTATTTATTATTTTATAGTACTTTAAATGTATCCTTGTTTTGTACGTTTCACATTTTAGCTTCGATGCGAAGCTGAGAAGGTATTAATTTTACTATGATGTGTTTTTATTTTTATTTTGTGTCTGTTACCACTTTTTCTCAGCTCTCACCGAACCGATATCTTTCAATAATATGTCAAAATATCACAAATCGTATCTAGTCGAAGACATTACCCTCAAAAATCGAAAAATTTTCACTTGTTCCCCATAAATGGGGGAAACATCCAAAAAAATTACAAATTTAAAAATCGCTAATTTTCGAAATTTTTTCAAATTCTTTTACTTAAAACTACCATAACTTTTTAAAAAATCTATATGATTTTTTTTTATATAGATGCTTGATGTCTTTACCTATCATTTGGTATATTTTTTTTTATAAATTTAACCCTTTACCAGCCCACAGGGGGGGATTCAAAATGACAACTTTTTCACACAAAATTAACTTTATCAACTTAACTTTTGAAAGTGTTCCGGAAATACTGACACTTTTATACATATTATAAATTAAAGCTAATGTAATATACTTTATCATGGAAAAAAAAATTTCGGACTTTATTTTGCCTTCACGGTAAAAATGACTGCCGAATGTTATTTTTGTATGAAAATTCTCGAATTTGTATTTTACATTTTTAACTTTATAATGTTATAACTTTTTGAAAAATGTATGGATCACTACAATTTTTTTATGAGAAATAATATTTATAAATAATCTCTTTTTCATTCGACATACTTTATCTTAATCAGGTTATTAATAAGGAACTAGCAGATCATGGATATTTTGGAATAATCCTCCAATTTTTTTTAAATTAAACACTATCTAAAGATTTGCATCGAAGCGTTTTATTTTATAGTGATTTTAATCACTGTCAGATATTATACTTGATCAAACTATGCCACGTCACCACTGATCCGCGACCCCCCTGTACTGGGTTTTTTTTTAATTATATCTTTAATATTGTGTTATTATTGAACTCTGTTATTACTATAAGTAAAGCCATAAGGAGTTTCTCATTAGAACACAACTGGGTCTCTAAACGACACATCTTTAATAGTAAACAATCGAATAATTTGTGCTGATACTAGTTCAGTACCCTAAGTCTTATTACTCTTTTAAATTACGGTTGAACAGACCCAACCCTTAGTATTGATATAAGAGAAAATGTTTATAGTTGAGTCAGTCAGGACTTAAAGGATTTATTCATTTGTAAAGCTATTAAGTCATACGATATAACTCATTTTAACCATTATTCTAAAGGAATTTAAATTAATTATAGAATAACAATATTTAACTATCTTATCAAATATATCAACATAAGGTAATATATTTTAAATGGAATGTTTCTTTTAAAGTATGTGTTTAGCGTTGATAATGATAACATTGTTTCCGAAATACGTATCCGCGATTTTTCATTAATTAATTACGATAATGTTTCTAACATTTATAATAAAGATTAGAGATAATCATTTTTGTAAAAAGGTCGTTCAAAAGAATATTATTAATGGAAAAGAAATTGCGTACTATTACCAGTATATAACGTAAAAAGATAACATTTACTTCCGTCTTTTACATACGTTGACTAACGATTCATACCATAGGAAAATCGTAAAAATAATCTAAATTTAAAAAACTTCAAAATTCTGTATAAACTACTGAAACAAAATAAGAGTTTATGTTATGAACATTTTTCTTAAAAATTTATCTATAAAGTGGCTATCTTCAAATCTTAAAAAAAATTATTTTTTGTATTTGCCAAAAATAACATAAAACATATTTGAAATAGTCCTATACTGTAAAAATTGGTTTAAAAAAAGAAGTATAATATGTTATGTATAAGTTATATAAGTTGACAGTTAGATCTGTTTCACTTTTTATATATATAAATTCTATACTACAGTCTTTAAAAAAATATTTTGAGATAAGTATGAAATATAATATTAAAAATAACATTTTTTTAATTTAATCATAAATTTAAATAAGGTTGTTTAACTTAAATTTTTAAGCTTGTTAACTATATCTTAATAGGTGTGCATTTGATTCAACTGTCTTGCTATACTATTTCATATAGTCTACAAATAACAGTTAGTTTCAAAAAATAAAAGTCCATTCCGATATATTCAAATAAAGTACAAAATACTATTTTGTCATTGGCACAATCTGGGAATAGACCCTCCTTTTTGTGTCACAGCCCCTCTTCCCTAAAATATAATGGAATTTACATCAAAATTTATATAAAATTATTTTTTAGAGATCTCCAAAACATTTTGTTCAAATTGCACCTAATTCTACCCATTCAACTTCAAATTCACTTTTAATAAATATTTTTATAATTTTGATACAAATAATTTATTCTATATAATTGATTTTAGTAGATTTTGAATATCTATCAACTACTAAAGAAAAGTTATGAAAAATAACTACAGTTTATATAGAAAAGCAATATAGTAAATTTAGTACTGAAGTATATTATTTTAAAAATAATTCAACTTATAATAATATAACAAATAAAGATTTTATAAAACGTAATAGTTATTAGCTTAAAATAAATATAATTTAAGTTGTAAATATTAAAGAAATCTTTTAGAAAAACAAAATTACATTTTATCCAATCAGTTTCAATAAAAGTTTCTTATAATCTCCAGAAGTATCTCCCTGTAATAATAAAAACTTTAATTAAATCCTACTACCAATTTAATAAATACTTAGACTAATTATTGCTAATTGTCAACTTACGTTAATCCAAGATTCCAATGACTTTCCATATAATCTTTCAAATGCCAATTTAATGTCACCAAGATCGATTTCAGACCTTGACACTATAATTCTTATCAAAGTCTTATCATCTGTTCCCATACCAGCCATACTTTTGTGCAAACGTTCCGCAAAGAAATCGATTTTACTTCTAATACATTTGACTGAAACATAATAAATTAATTAAATTTTTGCAAAATTTTATCTTAATATGAAACATATATTAGGTACTTTAGTAGACTTACGTAAATCTCATTCTTTACAAAGTTACAATTTTTAATATTCATTCCCAAATATTATATTTTTATTAAATATTAATGGGTAACATAAAAAATGCAATGTGTTTTTTTTAAATTTTAAAAGTAAGTATTCAACAAATTTTACAAACACCATGAATTACTAACTTTTTAATAATAGAAGTAATTTTTAATTTTTAAATCTGCTAATAATTTTATACCATTAAACATGAAGTTTTTACTTTTCTTTTTACGATTTATTGAGTATTACATGTCACGTTTTTAAAATCTTTCACTTACTACAGTGGCATATTTCGTCTATAGAGCTACAATTAGGGGTCGCTTAAGGGAGACAATAGCCTCCCCAAATTTTTTAGGGGTAAAACTCAATATTTAAAACCAAAAAAAATGTTCTAATACAAATAGGTTGAGTTTAGTTTGTCATCGAAAACATAAATATTATTAACGTCAATTAACACAAAAATGTAAGAGTTCATTCAATTTTATTTTAAGGGTAAGCAATAATTAATAACTTTGATTTGATAATCGTATCTTATCGGTCAAGCGGTGATATGATGTACGAACATTTTATATTTCAAGATTAATGATAACCTTTAATAATGAGAAAAAATGTTCTCACTTTTTTTTACTCGTCATCATTATTTAATAATTTATATAAAATTATTTTAAAATAATTATATTATTATGTTTATTTGATCATAGAACATTTAGACATAATAAAACCTAGTATAGTTGGGACCTAGCATTGTGTGGACAAAGTATAAAAAACTTTTGTAGGGGTGGTTTGTCCCCTAATTTATAATATCACTCACATTTATATCTGGGTTTAGAATTAACTATGTGAAATATTGCCAAGACTAACAAAGTTTATAATCCTTTCAAAGTTCAAAAGATACATATTTTTGGACTTACTCTTAGTTATTAATATTATACAACAAGTATATTTGAATTAATTTTAAACAGTTTATTAAACTAAATATTTGGTTTGACGATTTCAGCTGCGAATACACATATATTTACTTAATTTAATACATCTATAAACTATAACCCATTATATATAATTAATTTTAATTTTCTATAAAAATTAAATATTTAAAACTCTGAGTTATAATATAATAAGCACAAGAAAATGACAAAGAGAGAAATTGTAAACTTCAACAAAGGTGACCTTTAAATATTATATAAACACCGATAAAACTGATTAACTACATTTCACAAACTCCGAAATATATGAAATTTTAATTGTCTATAAAATTTAGATATTTATAAGCCTCGGTTATAAAATTATAAGCTCTTAAGCACGAGAAGTGATAATGGGGAAAATTGTAAACTCCAACAAAAGTGACCCTATTGATTATTTTTATATTGCGAATATTCTTTTCCATTCGTCCATTATTCCTTATAGATTAAGATATAACAGTGATTTACATCATTATCGTAAAACGCTTCAATGCGAACAGGTTAATTTCTATTTGGAACTGTTTTTATTCACACACAAAAAAACAAACAAAAATGAATACTGTTGAAAAACTGTTAAGATAAATTTTTTTCAAAATTTGAGGTTAATATCATCTTTTAGATGTAATTTTGGTACTTTTAATGTATAATATTAACGTAAACCAGTGACAGCTGAAAATTAAATTAATACCTTTTCAGTTTTGTGTCGAAGTTTAATAATATACTCGATAGCTTTTATACTTATAATGTCTAACTTTTATGTGACATGATTATTTTTTACTAATATGAATAATGCAATTTTATCACTTTGAATACAAGTTAGTACAAATTATTTATTAAAAAACCGTAATAAATTAAAACAAATGTTTTTCAAAGGTAAAAATCTAAGCAAATTTGTGTTGTTTTCATGCAAAGGTTAATCTGTTATAGATATAAAAACCAAATAATGTACTATCTCCTTACAAATTTATAACACAATTTAGATTATTGATTTTTCTTGTGTAAGAAATACAATAGTTGCAATTTAACAGTATTATAAAAAATTAACTAAGTGTATCAAACTGATACTATAGACTGGTTTTATTTAAACTTACCTAAGTACAAAAGACCCATGCAGATGTCGCCAGAAAATTCACTTTTTATTGATTCTTCTAAATCTTTTCCAGACAGTTTTTCATACTCTAATATCACACGTCTCAAGTGCTGATAACTTTTGTTTACTAAAATCCTATTGAATTCAGATTCATCTGTTCCCCATTTCAGTTCACCGGCATTGTATAAAGCCTCAGCATCCGTTTTAGCAGCAGCCTCATCTACATTAGGATTTTCTTCTCGGTTACCCTTTTTAAAATGTGCTAATTAATATAATATAATACAAATGTGTCATTTAAAATACTTTAAATAAATTTAATTATCACGTACCAAACTTAAAGAAACGCACAGTCGTTTAAAGTGTCCTGAAGTATCCCCCTTAATATCTTTTTCCAAGGAACTTCCATATTCTAAAAGCAATTAAAATTGACAATTTAAATGTGTTATTGCATTTTTTTAATATTTTTTATGGCTTCTTTAATTAGATATTTTTAATTTTCTTACGTTTTAAATTAATATTTGAAATATTTTAATTTTAAATAGTATTAGCTACATATGAACAATTCGTTGTTGATGTGAAATTATTCATCACAACAACAATCCATCACTATCATTATTTTAGTTTGCAAACTATTTGTCATTATTAACTCAAAAATTTGAAGTTGTCGATAGTATTTTATGGTCAGTATATATTATTGACTTGTAGAATTTAATATATTTTGTTAATTATAATATAATTTATCATATTAAACATCACATTTGTCAATAATGTAACAAAGTTTCCATTAATCCTTTTAATTATTATTTATTGAATTTATTTGTATACCATAAAATTAATTGAATAGAAGCAAATTTAAATATTTATTTCACTTCAATACAAAATAAAAAATATAGCTTTGATGTAATCAAATATTTCAACTAATTATGATTTGTGATCGTTTAATTCTTGAAAGGAATCGATAAGGGCTGAGAAAAATGTCGACAGACAAAAAAAACACATTACACTAAATTTCATATTTTCTCAGCTATTTATCGAAGCTAAAATATTAAATACAAGTTCATATAAAAATAAATAATATATTTAAATGACGTAAATATAAAACGAAAAATATTTTCTAACATTTTTCAATATAAAATATTAAAACAAATGTAAATATAGAAAAAATGAAATTGAACTACTATATCATTACATTATAAACAAAACATAGATTAAATTAATTAAATTAAATTAAATTAATTAATTAAATTAGATTAATTAAAGATATACGACTTTCAAACATTATTTAAAAATGAAAAAGCTAGGAAAATTACCCGCAAAGTTCAGAAAAATTTTTAGCAAACTGTAAATGTTTCAAAAATTTTATCGAAAACGTTCATTGCCGCCCCGTTTTTTTTAACGTTCATTTTAATCGTGATAAACGATTTTAAATTTGAAATTATGACCAGATTTGCCTAAATACTTTTAAAAATAACCTGAAAATATAGTTGAAATATATTTATTTTTAACTGAGTTATGAGATTTTTTTTTTAAGTCCACGCGCATATATTTATAGTAAGATATGATATCACTTTACGTATTTTGTTTAAATTTTATGTAGTTTTCACTAATAACACTGCATTTAAAGATTATTTTTAATGATTATTTAGTGTTTTTTCGCCTACCTGTTGTTTAGAATAATAATAAGTGGGTTATTATGAAATATAATTGTGAATACACCTTAGTATTTTGTAGTCATAATATTGTTTTTTTAAATATTATTTAATTAACAAGTTAGACTATTTTTCTGTTAAACTGATTTTGGGATTATACTTTTTACACACAACAAATATCGTGCATAGCGTAGCTGGATACTCCAACCGGAATCAGTAACCTACCCACAAAAACGGTGTGAAGGGCCTAAAGCACCGCAATTGTGTGAGGCAGAACTCCAGTTATGCGATGCCTAATTGTTTAATAAAATTTAATAATATATACCTTTTAAAAATTAGGCACGAAATTTTTTTAATCAAATTAAACTCTTAAAATTGTGTAATCATGACCGTGCATGACGTCTGTGAATATGTATAATAGATATCCTCAACGTTCGTACAAAACTGTATTGTTATTTTTATTATCAGACGTCTGTTGCGATTAAAAAAATAAGTCGTTCCGAAAGAACTCATCCTAATTTTCCGATAGACACCTAAAATTTTTTCATCAGTATAGAATATCAATCCTCTTTAAAGGCGCCACTACTCAGAATGAAAAATTAGCTTAATAAATGGTGTAATAATAACCACCTCCAAAATTTCTTAGATTCTGAAATTGTTTAAGTTAAACGTAATCGCCCATTTAACATTTTCATGTTGTTCAAATAGTAAATATATTAATAAGTAAAGAGATATATTTTTAAGAGCTGATGAGATTTGACGAGAATGATACAAGTAATGAAAATTTATTTGATCAGAATAAACTATTTAAGTATCTTGGAGACAATCAATATACAATATGTCCAATAAACAGAACGAAATTGAATATTTGGAGTTATTTTTACTATAATTAATAAATGATACATTTTATTTAAAGTTGTTTATTTTAATTATTACTTGTCACACATAAGTCATAACTAATTACTAATTTCACTTTAAACGGTTAATTTTACTGTAATATGAAATGGCTCGAAGGCAAAAAGGAAAAAATAATGTTTTGTATACCATTTAGTAGTAAAACAGAAATATTATTGATATTTTCTGAACTAAAAACTTATTTTGTTTTTTACTTGAAATTTGATTATTTTAAGTCTAATACATATTATATTTTTTTAGTAGTATTTTAGCTTTATTAATTTTTATATATTATACAAAAGCGCTTAGCACTTATCCAATTAGATAGCATGAATTTAGTGAGATGTACCAATAATTAAAATGCGTTAAGACTTAGAGTTATAAATTACTTGAATATGATTACAGTGTAAAACGCTTACTAAATCAAAGTCGGAATATAAATTTTCATTATTAAATTAATAGTGATTGATACAATATTAGTAAAATTTTACATATTTATTGTATTATGTGGTTATGAAATAAAATAAAATTTAAGGAATGTATTAATAACACAAAAATAATTTAATATTTTTTTTGAAAAATCAATTACAATGTATTTAATTTCAAATTGTAAATAGAAAAATTAAAATTAAAAAAAAAAAAAAATTAGTCATTTAGATAACTAATACTTTGTATTGTAATAATTTTATACCTATGCTGGAGGATGAGCGAGTCTGACTAAAGTCTATCGATAAAAACAAAAGCACCTACACTACTAATCAATCTATTAAATTTTTAAAATTTTTCTATTTTATAAGTTATTTAAATATATATATATATATATGTTTCGATTAAAAAAAATTAAATTTACACCCTTAAAAGCATCAGAGATGAACATAAAAAATATTTTATAACAGACAAACAGAGTAACAAAAGAAAACAAAAATCGCAAAAAATTATATAGAGGAATTGAGTGGGTCTAGTGTCAAAAAAATCACATTTTATAATATTAGCAACCTAATTACTTTGTATTACTCCACTCTAGTAGGTGAAGAAACTTTATTTCGCTTTTGAGTTTGCAAAAATTATGAAATTACATTTTCGTAATACCCATTAAATTTAGTTATTTATTTTAAACCTCACAGTTCTTTACCATAAACTATTTTATTCGTCGGAATAATAATTGAACTAAAAACAATATTATTAGAAAGTTAAAAATAATATTGACTTATTCGAAAAAATGTCTAGTTAAGTACATTATTCAAAATAAAGACAGGGTATTTTCTTTCGATGTAGTAGTCTTATTTCCAAATATTCTGATAAATATAATAATTGTTTTTTTTTTTTAATACTGTCTAAGGAAAAAACATACAACAGGATGAAATTAATGAGTTTTAAATTTAACAAATGTACGTATGGGTCTGTTGTAATATCCACATATATTACTTTTAAATAATTCTTAAAACATTTGAATGTAAATTATAAGAAAAGTACAATTTCACGAAAATTGTATTAAGTAACAAACTGATATCATAAGAATGCTTTGTAATTTAAATATATTCATGTAATAATTCTCTAAATCGTGATTACCGTGTATTAAATAATTATTATAGTTATAAAAAAGTCTAAAAAGGCAATACGGCATTAGAGATTGTCATTAAATAAGAGATGAGGGCTATCAACTATATGAAGTAAAAAGGCTGAAGTAGCAACCTCTTATTTCCTTTTCAAAGCATCAGCACAGTAGTGCAGTAGTTACTAGGTAAAGTAGAACATATTAGTGGAGTTAGCTAGTCACTTAGATAACTAGCACAACAAGGTGGAAAGTGAGTAGGAAGCAATCTCGACTGCCGTATGTCTCATAACACAAATCTTATTTCGGTGTTCAAATTATTTCTACCTGACTACAATTTATTTTAGGAGCTTAAAAAAGGACAACGAAAAGGTGAGTCAATTTTATCAACCTCCGTCATAGATTTTAATTACTAGAAAAGTATTGATCGTTTTCAAACTAAAGGGTTTTATAAGTAGCTGAAATCATTAATATAAATATACTAGTAATTATATATACATATATATATTAAATATGTTTTATCGTATTGTAAGAACACATGGTGTCCACTTATTTTAAAAGTTTAAGGAGCGAGGCGTTCGTCCTGTTGCCGGCGCTACTCTAAGCAAAGAAATCCTTGGAGCGAGACGATCGTGCTGTTGCAGGCGCCACTCGATGAAGAAGTACCCGGAGCGAGACTGTGTTAACGTACATACTACTTGGGGTTAATTAACACACACGAAACCACATTCTTACAATTAAACACATCAACAGCATAATTTCCTACCGTAAATTATTTTAAAAGCCTTATTATTTTTGAACCATCGAACCACGACCCGATAAACTATATTAATTAATTATATGAAGTAATTCACTTGCGCTCAACCACATTTAGCCCTTTTACAAAAATATATTATTTTTTTACATTTTTATAACACAATAATAACAAAACCTGAGACAAATTAAACCTTTTCTTCTTTTTTTTTTATTATATTTTATATTATATTATATTTTGAATTACTACAGGTCAACATGTTTTTCAATTTCAAAATATATTTTATGAGCAAATTGAGGTATAGCAATGATATCTGTTATAACCAGTTTTAGCAGAACATTTCATTAGTAGGTTCGAAACAAATTTATAATACACCTATGGCGGTTTCTTGTAAATTTGAGTTAGGTTTGTTGATAACATTTATGCAGTAAGAAACAAAGTTTTTAATTTGGAGGTCATCACAACGCATTTACATTTTTTTTTATCCATCAATTATATTTTTACAAACAGAAAATAGAAAAATATTTACCATTTTTTATTTATTAGTCCGAACACTAAAATTAAATAAAGAAAGGAGGGCCAACTAGTAGATTCACTAGCGTGAAACAAAAAGTAATTAATTAGATCACCCATTTTATATTATCGGGACATTTCGATTGGGCTACATAGAATTTTTATGAGTTTTATTATTACTTTAGTAACTACTAAGAGTAATAATTTAAGAGATTTATTTAGTAACCCAAAAGATAAAGTAGAAGTATAGTGAAAATCAGGTGTATATAAAATACTATGTGAAAATTATTATAAATGTTACGTAGACCAAAAAAAATAAATGGGTCATGTTTAAAAATCATTTAAAATCAAAAAGTTTATTTATCTCCTATGACAAATTTTGATACTTAATCACTCCATTAAAATAATAAAAAAATTTATTTTGCAATATTTTATAATAACAACAACTATTAAAGTTGACCAAAGAAAAATCAAGAAGGGGCAGTTACGCCCCCATTCCCCTTCTGGATGCCTATGGACATAGCGAGTCTTTTTAAAACTAAATATCTCTAAGTTAAAATTACTAAATCCAATTGGAACATTTTGATAGGTATTACTGTATAATTTTAAACATAATACAATATTTTTCTAAGAATTAAATTCTACTTTTACAAATTAGTCTTATAGTAGTATTTTAATATTTTTCATTTTTAAAATAGAGTATTTATCAAGTGAAAATTGATAGCCTACGTAAGTACTGATTTAATAAATTTTAATAATATGTCTAACATAGGTGATTGCATTTTCTTTAAATGTACAATGATTATAAAATAAACAAACTGTATTATTAGGTAAATGAATGTGTTTATGACAAGGACAGTAACTAAGTAAGTAAGGACAGTTTAACTTAGCATTAAAAATGTATAGTGTACTTGATAGTGATTTTTTTATCGTTCATCAATATTTCATCATCTATAGTAATTTATTAAGTTTATCACCGTTAATGCTCAAGAATTAAAATAGTGATTATTGAAGACAATTTTAAGTTATAGTCTTGATTTTTTTATTTATAATATATCGTTTACTAATAGAAAATTATAAAAAAATTACTGGAAATTTTACAAAAGTTCTAATCAAAGATAATTCGGTAACATTGCCAAGTCTTTAAATTAAATTTTAATTATTTACTAGCATTGTCCAATATAATATGAAACTTAATTATTTATTGGAATTATTTGTAAAAAAAATTATATAAAATCTAATTTTGTGTACGCGAATAAATCTAATATCAGTTAAAATTAAGTACCTTTGACTAATTGATCACTTACTAAAGTAATTATAGAATATTTATTGATTGTTTATCATTTTCGTTGGGCTATTATATAGAATAACGCATACAACTTATATGTATTACTTTTTTGATCGACAATGTATTAAATTAATTTACTAAGTTTGAATTTTCGACCTTCAAAAAGAAATCCAAGTTTTTGCAGATTTATTACGCAAACTATTACCTTTTTTAGGTCAAAATACTACAAATTTCTTTCTCAACTCATTTAAATTGTACAAATACTTTTTAAAAAACAGATTATACAAAAAACATACGTTTTGAGTAGCATTCAGCGACAGTCTTAACACCATAATTACTCAAAGTACATAAAATTTCAACAAGCACCTCTTCTTTAGTGCCGACTCCTGATATGGCATCATGTAGTTCTTTAGCATAATAATCCGGTAATGGTGTCATCATGGCCAAAATAGTGTCTTCAAAATGACCACCAAGTTCACTCTTCAACTCTTTTTTCAAATCCTGATAAATGAAACATTTCATTGTTTTAGTTAAAATTATATTTTCATAATCAATACAATAACTATTACAGCTTTTTTAAAAACCATTGTATTTTTTATTTTCCATAGCAAATAATTTATTTCTTTTTGACCTTCAACAGTCATGAAGGTATACATTATTTTCAATAAAATAAAAAACCAGCATCATTTATGTAACAATTTTTTTTTTCATACTTTTCCATAAAGAGATTTAAAAGCTTCGGCAATTTCGATTCGTTGCACGATACCTCTATGAGCCAGTATATCAGTTATTACTTTTTGGTCGCAACCAAAACCTTTCATGGCTTTTTTCAAATTGGATGCATCTTCTTTGGCATCGAAGGTTGCTGCTGGAAACACAGTGGGCGTACACTAAAAAAATAATACATTAAAATATGTACATAACACTACCCAAGAATATAACATAATGAACAACCTACAAATTTTTAAAATATGACAAAGTAGGAGATCAGTAGCATTTGTACATAAAAATCGTGTAATACTCCCTGTTAATTACTCTGTAAAAAGTCATATAGTTTGTACTAATTACTTACTATTTGTATACAAACCTACATAATAGATATTTTTACTCGCTCATTGAAACAGTGTATACATTTTTTATGTTTGAATTTATGTAATCCAGTTTATTTTTAAAACGTAAAAATGTATTTAAAAATTATACAATTAGTTTCAATCTCATAGATTGTCAACTGATATTATAATATTGATACTATATTAATATAATAATAATATAAAAAAGGAATAGTGGTCATTCATAGAACATCATAATATTATACATACATTCTTTTATGGCCACAAGACAAAGTTCTATACACATACTTAGTAACAATTGAAGTCTACATTGAGTTTCCTATCGTTCCCAAGGCCGTAGACACCATATTAATAATTCTATTTTATCAATGATGTCATAAAAGTTATTCTTGGGCGTGGACCTTACATATTAAAACAATTAAAACTGACAATCAAAATTTAGTAAGACTATAATTTATAATATGTTTAACTGATACAGATCAAAAATAATTCTGTCACAAAACAAATATCTAAATGATTATATATGCATATAATATTCTATGTTGGTTGTTTCACTGAAAATATCTCCAATTATCTGGTTTTTTATTACAGTACAATAATCAAGTGTATATTTATATCTGGTATATTTTTCGTTGTATATTTGTTTACTAAAAATGTTTATTATTGTAAAAATGTTTACTAAAAAAGTGGAAAAAACGACTACATCAAACAATAGATAGAAAAGTACAAGGTAATATATGCCATAACAAAGTTAGTACCTAAAACACACGTAATAATCAGGTAATGTTCCATTGAGGATAGAAATGAACATCACTGACGTAATATTATTGTTTTGTTATTTTTAAGTATATTAAAAAATTCCAATAAATCACAAAAATTCAAAGCAAAAATAATTTAAAAATATGTGAAAGTTATTCTAGCAATTCTATATGAAAGTAAATTATTGAAAAATTTATCTTTACAAATAAAACAAAATCTAATATTATTAAAATCTAATATAAATATGTCTAAATTGCAAAAAGACTTCTTGATATGATAAAAAAAAACATTTTACAATATGTCTTAATGAATGTAATAAATGGAAATTATTCTAGAGAATATTTAGATTACTATTCGTATTTATTTCACTATTATTTATACTACCAATAAAATTGACTCATATAGTAATATTAATAATTGAAAATGTTCATTTTTGTCAGAAATTAAATGCATTCAATTAAAAAAATATATAGTTTTAGAAATTGAATATTTTAGACGTGATACTTCATAAATAGTTCAAAGTTTATTTTTCAAATTATCATAGGTACAATAAATGTACACTTATTCTATTATATGAAAGAAAATTTTAAAACTTCTGTGATATTATAACAACCTCAAAACTATTATATTTATTAATATTTAATGGAAAAAAGTAATTTTAAAAGTTAATTATTGAAACAAAATTGAATACTATACTTTAAATGAGATCGCATAATGTTTGGAAATGTATAAATTTATATAACTACACTATGTTATCTAATCATGTTATCGGCTAAATTTAATAATTGTCAATAATTTTAACTTAAAATATTATATAGACGTTAACAAGTAAAACTAAAGGTAGTTTAAAAACTACAAAATTGATATAAAGAACTGTAGTGGTTTTTTATTTTAGTTTATTAGAAATAGTTTTACAGGAAATACGCAAAGAAACATATATATATATATATATATATATCATTGTATATGGCCGACCCCAAGTAGTTGGTATTAAGGCGAGGAAAAAGAAGATATAAAGAAATTGTTACTTACATTGGAAGTTACGTATTTAGTCATATTGAAGTATACGAGAGCCGGTGTCTTGAACTGTATCGGTCGTTTAACAGCGGCAACAGTTGGCGGTTTATTTATACTATAACAATATGATAAGATACGTAGTTTTGTTTCACTTACTTAAACGTTATCACGACGACTAGTACGAATTGTTAGACGGCTGTTAGTCAAGTGCGGCGATTGTTGATGATGTCATGTGATTTAGCCCACCAAACTTTGATAACGGCCAGAAATATTTTTATCATGTCAAGGACGTGTGCGCGCCGTGCCAACCACCTCCACCGATGTATTATAGTCCTCTTAACTGCTATATCTGTGTAGTATTCGATGTGATTTATTCGACAAGTACCGAGAAATCAATTTTTAGTTTCTTAACGTCGTTTAAAATAAGTGCGAACCATGTCGATGCTATTGAAAGCAATATCTTATCAACTTTCTATGCGTACAGATACAACTGCTCGCTCGATTTAGGCATAGAACAGAATTTTATAATTATTAGTAATATTGTTCTCAAGCGTGACGACACGTTTTAGTACTGTAATTTATGAAACATTACGTTTTATATAAACATGAAATAATTATAAAAAAATGCGCGAGGTAAAGTTATATTATGACCTTAACTGTCAGATAAACTTAACTATTTTTTATTAGTCATCAAACTTGATGCCCCGGACAGTTAGTATGTTCTATGTCTTAGACGGATTTCCTATTACAAAAACATAGAAACAACAATTACCATCAAACGATTTTGTTAAAAATATAGAAATTAAATTATATATTGTTTAATCAATTAATTATTAAAATAGTAAAACTTTTCAAGTAGCCTCGCATGATTTATGAGACCATGTCCCAAAACAAAAAACGTCTTATGTGGATTATCTCAAATAATTTTTCTTATAAACTATTCAGGAAAAAACATGATCATGAGTTGTTTACAGTTATACACATAACAATTTATTTATTAGGTCAAGTACCTGTAAGAACATAAGATAAAAAATTATCAAATAATTGAAATGTGTTAATCAATCTATTTTTTTAAAAGTAATCAATTAATTTAATTACATATATTCATATGCAATTTCCACGAGCTTTAACAAAAGTTGCTATTATGCCTTTGCTCACGGTACAGTATCAAATTAAGAAATTTGTGAGGTTTTTAGTTTTTGAATATTTAACATAATATACCGAAAATACTATTAGTAATAATAATCGTGAGTTATTTCAAACAATTAAATCGTTTTAGGGGTGAATTCAAAGTTTTTAGTAAAAACGCAAATAATCTAAGCACATACTGAAAAAAACTCAAACTTTCTATAAAATGGATGTTATTGTTACTTTCTCAGAAAATACTATCTTTGTATAAAACTCTTAATGAAATTGATATAACTGTTTTATATGTTAAAAGAATGTCAATAAAATAAAATAAATATTTAGTCTATAAATTAATAACATTAAATATTTATAAGTAATCTAAATATAAACGTAGAATTACTTATAATAATTTATGGGTTTGTCATAAAAGAATAATTCTTTGGAAATTAAATTTTAACGAAATGGTAGAAAAATGATATATAATAAAGTGATTTTTGTTTTTTTTTATGTAAAATGGCGTTTTTTTTTACAATTCCTATATCGGTTTGTGTTTGATCGGTATAAACAAATGTGTGTATATATAAATTCGTTTATGTGTATTATTTCTTAGTAATATTTTTCACGAATTCTATTCTGACTACATATGAATTTATACTTATTTGTTAGCGATTTATTATTTCTTGCTTTTACCTTGATATTTAAACTTTACCACGATTTGTGTATTTTGTGAAACACACGTTACACAGTCACTAATATTTTAGTATGTTTTACATGAAGTGTTTACTTACGGAGATTGAAAATACTCATTTCCCTAAAAAGTTGCTCAAGTCAGATACAAAAGAGCCAAAACAAAAGTCAAAATAATACAAAATAAAAAAAATAGAAAATATTTTAAATTTGTTTGATTAATTGTTTTTCTTCTTCCCTCGTTGTCTCTATACCAACTATTTACAGGAAAATAACCGGCCCCATTAAAAAATAACAGATCACCGTAAATCCCCCAACAGTTTCAATTATATCCAATGTTAAAACTTAATTAAGTACCAACTATATTCATATTACTATAGGTATTATTAGTTAGTTTTTAAACCTACTAAAATATTATTGACAGTATAACTCGTGTTTCACAAAATACACAAAACGTGGTAAAGTTTAAATATCAAAATAGATTTATACTTTGATTTCATCCATTTATAAACAGAGCATAGAAAAAAGTTCATCAAATAATAAAAAATTGACTGATTTGATTAAAGTCAAAACAATTATTTATAGAAAAAATTTAAATCAATATATTACAGAAAAACAATCGTTAATTTATATTATAATTTAGAATTGAAGTTAAAAGATAATAATAGTAGTAAAATTGACTACCACCCAGTATTAAGTTTGTTGATTTACTTTTGTGGGGATTGGTTGATTTATATAGATTGATTTTCAACTATAATTTGATTAATGTAAATTACAATATATATTTATTTTAAAATAAAATGTAATTTAAAACTTCCATCAAACATAACAACAATGTCTGCTAAAAAAGAACAAAACAGAAATATTACAATAATATAGTAATAAATATAGTTTAAAAAAACTAAAAAAACACGCTTTTAAAGCACATCGAACTAAAAAGTTAAGAATAATTTTTAAAATAAGTTTAAAATAATTATGAACAAAAAATACTAGTATTATTGTGATAAAAGCGTCGGGCGCTCAATATACGAAAAATATGGCACAAAGCACCCACGCTTTTATCACAATAATACTAGTATTTTTTGTTCATAATTATTTTAAAAATTATTTTTAACTTTTTAGTTCGATGTGCTTTAAAAGCGTGTTTTTTTAGTTTTTTAAACTATATTTATTTTTTACTTTTTAGTTTCATGTTATGATAGTAGTTACTATCAATATCATGGTTGTTACGGGTAACGGGAAATCAGGGTTCGATTCCGGGGAGGGAGTCTGAGAAACGGCTACCACATCCAAGGAAAGCAGCAGGCGCGTAAATTACTCACTCCCGGAACGTGGAGGTAGTGACGAAAAATGACGATACGGAAATCATCCCTCGTAATCGGAATGAATACTTTATATCTCTTAATTAGAATAAATCGTGTTAATAAATTAATTTTAATAGTAATTAGAATATATATATACAGAGTGTTCAGTAAATAAGGAAACGAATTTCTATTGTACTCATCGTTTGTAACAATTTAACTGTTTCCTAACTTACTGAACACTCTGTATATATATACAAGTAAAGCGACTTAAATACGTAAACGTATCATGCACTAGGTATAACCGTATTTTGTGGGCGGGCGGGTTGGACTAACGTTATACCTGAGGTATAAACGGTGGTAGGAATATATAAATATTTATACGTAAGGCGCATTAGACGCGGGCGGTATTGGTCAGTCAAAATAAAAATTTGTTTATATATATATAATATTGATGACAAGCACGCGTGTACGGGTACGATAACTAAAAATAAATTTTTATAGGAATAGTGT